CGCTAATTGGCTCCCTGATCCATATAAGGTCAGCGTTGTCTGTGGTGAAAATTTGGCAGGGCGAGAAGCCCTTTAATGCCCGTACAGTATGTAAGAGAAAAAGAAGCCTTGCACACTGGATCACATCTACGGCGTCGGATGTCATCAACAGCTGTGTCAGGTTGCATAGATCTCGGACCAAAAGGACACATCAACGACTCGCCATGGAGATTGTCTCATGCTCAGCACCTACGCCAGGACAGCTCTACCAGCGCCAATCTTCACGCCCTTCTCGAAGCTGCAGGGCGCATCAGCTACCACGTAATCGCCTTCCATGAAACAAAGTCCAAGAAAATGGACGTGAGGAGCTGAGTGTTGGCACGCTCATCATTCGTGGTGAAAAGTCCATCACGGAACGTAGGCGTTGGATTTGTCGTACATCTGTTGTCCATCTTCCTGATTCGCATGAGATCCTTTCACCTCGCCTGGCTATCCTTCGATTCCGTCCTCTGTATCAGGAAGCTATCATCAACTACTATTCTCCAACATCAGCAGTTGATGATAACTTGACGCTTTTTATGAGGATTTAGAGAAAGTCACCCGCAAAAAAAACTCCTTCTATAAGTTTGTCGTGGGTGACTTCAATGCGAAAATCGGAATACCAGAAGAAGGGGAGCACAGGAGCGGGAGATTTAGATCAGGCCCCGGAATGAGAATGGTAACCATCTTGTTGGGCTTTTATCCGCCGCACGACTTTTTCATGGCAACTTCATTTTCATGAAGAAAGAACAGCGGCGGTGAACATCGGAGTCACCCAACGGCACGATTCAGGAGATTGACCACTTCACCAACCGAAGATGGTGCTTACTGGACGTCTCAGTGGTACAATCCTTCAGTAGTGGCTCAGATCACCGCCTCCTTTGAGCAAAAGGGCGATTTAGCCAAAAGCTGGGAAAAAAATATCTGCCACCGTGTTGGAGAAGGAAAGAAATCGTATATGACGGCGTCAGACTAGGAGCTCCTGACCACTTGTGAATGCCCCATCGAAGAGGCAATGAAAGATTACGGCCTGTTCCTTAGAGGACTGAGAGCCTGCGGTGAAAGTGCCTCAATGCCTGCACAAGGAGCTTGTAACGAATTTTGAAAGCTACCAAGGATCTGTTAGAGAGGAGAAGAGCAGTGAGGCTAGATCCGTTTGCATCACATCTCGAAGGACTGGGCCAATACCAGTTGCAGAAGCTTTGCAGAAAGATCTTCGAAAGTACAGGCAATCGAAACTTCTAAAAGCAGCACAGGGAAAAAGAAGTCTAAAGAAGTACCGCGGTCACCTTCTCGACTGTCGTGTTCCGCTGACAACATTACTAAACGAATCGGAACCACCGTCCAATGTCTGCTGAGCGTTCTTTATAAGTTCGATGAATCACGAATCTGCCGATCTGAAAAAAGTACTAAATAGGAGACGAAGATAGCTTAGCCTTTTTGGGCTTCCAAAGGAAGCCAAAGACTATAAAGGGCCCAAAGTTGCAAGCCGTTCGATTTAACCCTCCGTGCGCTCTATGAGCAGCAGAGACGGGGTCTGACACTGTGATTACGTCGAAGGCACTTCGAACAACCCGCTGGAACGACGTTTTCTGAAGCACAACCACGCACTCAACCTCTCGTCGGGCTTCGTAGTTCAGATATGAGATTAATGTCTCGTCTTCGCGATTAACGGAATACGTCTCTAAAGCAAAACATCGATGGGCTGATCATATAATGAAAAGAACAGAACACTAAGAACTTTGGAATTGATTCCTCGCTAAGCAAAACGTCCTCGAGGGAGGCCACTGACAGATGGCCTGACATGTTCGTTGCACGGATGGACAAGCTGAATTTTCAGCTGGTAACGAGTAATGGATCTGGACCTCGCGAACATCGCAATCGCAGTTCAACACCAACATCGTGGATGACGCTAACAAGAGACAAAAACAGATGGAAGCAGTGGTGTGGCTTGCACGACGACTGAAGACAGGCCCTCTAAATATCTAAGTAACAACCAGGATCAAATCCTCTGCCCTGCAGAAACGCTATATCATCCCATATCATTAGAACTCTAAATGCATTCTTTTTCTTTTTCAGAGAATCTTATTGGAGCTAAATTTGAGCGAGGGTTGCAAGATTGTAGTTCGGTCTTGACTGGTTCGAAGCAATTCGAACAGCAACGAAACTTATCAGCTTTTCCAAATGCCATTTCTCAAAAAGGGCATATGTGTAGTTCCTCGAAAAAAGTTGTGTATAGACTTGAGCATATTAACAGCTACTCACGTTTTCTGAGAGCGTCTAAGGAAATATTGTTGATACCTACCATTGCCCTTTTTTAGTAAAAATTAACATTCATGGTCATGATTATAAGGTCACTGAC